TGAGGGGGGAAGAGCGCACGAGCAGCTGCATAGGGCTCAGTTGCTGGCTGAGGTTAAACCACGACAAGATGCTATAATGGTTCCATTAAGTAGTAACTTAAAACTTAGATGAAAGAGATTAAACAAAATTCTAGAAATAACACCCAATAAGTCAGTGATGTAATACGCTTGTGAATTAAAACTCAGTACCCTTTATGGGTTTGCTCACTACAGCAAACAGTGGTATGATTTTTAACTCGATTTTTCTTCTGTTTCTGCTGTAAACAATAGCGCAGTGAAACTATTTTATGATTAGGCTTTTACTGCCAAATGAGTTTTATTGGAGTTAGTCCCAGGAAAGGTGTTAGTTCATACAGTTACATTTTGACTTCAGACTTCAGGCTTGCTAATAACAGAGAACTCAACGCCACACTTGTTGAGGCGATCAATCAATTTTGTTTTAAAGAAGGCAGCTCCCGGAGAATATACACCACCCCTGTTAATAAAAATCAAAAGAGAAAAACATCAGTGGTACAGTGATTGAGTGACACCTTTTCTTGAAGTCAAAGACGTGTTTCCCTGCCTAAGAAAGAAAAAGCCACTTTCTCCCCCACAGGAGAGCACACGAGGAATTTGGCAAGCTGGTTATATTCATAGGTTCACTCCTGCATCCAGCAGAAACAGAAACCATTCCATTAACTGAAAATATAGACACTGCTGCAATAGATGCTGCAAAAGCGTTACTAAAAACCTATGACTACATCCTTTCAAATTGAAAGGCAGATGAAGAGGAAGTGGCTTTAAATCAGGTTGTGGTGAAGCATCTCCCTTGCACAGCCATTTGGGAGAGGTAACACAGAAATCTACAGGGTTATGAGATCTGTATTTTCAAAGAGAAACATATGCACACGGTAGCCTTAAGGGAAATCAAGCTGTTCTGCATGGGAAAGTACTTACCGTTTAGGCAGAGAAGCTGCATCTTCCAGAAGAGAGACAGCTGCTTGAACCATCGCAATTGGTGTAGCAACATAGCCAGGCTCTGACAAAAAACAAACAAACAACATACAGTGTGTTGAAATGTAGAATGTAGTCTTGCTCTTACCTAGAGCATGCTGAAGAATAGTCTCTAGGGCAATAAAACAGCCTTCCTCATCTAAGAACAGCTTCTTTACCTGGTAATCATCCCAAGTAGCTGGTGAAGTCCTTAAGATCTCATCTGGACAAATGCTGCTTCAAATACAGGCCTATAACCACACAACAACCACGAGCGGTCACCTCACAGTGACAGAGGGCTCTCCATTACAGCAAGAGCTTTCCCCATCCTGTGCTTAAATTCAGACTTTTGCTGCGAGACTGTTGCCTTCAGCTACATCTCTAGTTATTTAAAGAAGCTATGCTTCATTAAGTCCTTTCTGAATATACATTCTTGCTGTCTCCAAACTTTACTTCAGGTGTCATCTCCCCCCAAAGGAATGATCTGAACACAGCTATGTTCTAGCCAGAAGTGATACCGTGCCAGATCTGTTTAAGTTCACTCACAGGGAACTGGAAATAAACAAGTAGGAAGTCCAGGCTGTAACAACTGAAAGCTATCCTTAAAGCACTCTCCCTTTCACTGCTCTACTCTGCAAAAAGGAAAATTGGAATGGGGAAAGTCAGAAGGAAAGAGAATGACAAGAATGCAAGTGAATTGGCTAGGTCAAAAAACAGGTCATAAGGAATGCTAGCATCCAAGGTAAGACTCTGTAAAGGCTGTTGACTTTGTCCATGTTGCTGGTGCTCCTCAAGCGTGAAAATAGCAGCAGTGGAACCATAAACCTATTTTAGAGTAGGCAACGCAAGGCAAAAGCAGTTAGCTGCTACTAACATACACACCTGGTCCTTTCACTTCAGTGCAGATCTTTACGTTTGGTTTGCCATTCTGGGGATCTTGCCCCTCACTGTAACCCTCGCCAAAAAAAGTCATTGTAAAAGAGGTTCCATCCATCTGTAGTGGACAAGACAAGCATGGTCACCAAAACAGTAACTCACTCACATCAGGCAAGCACAAGTAGTAAGTGTAAGTATCTGTTATGCCAGATACTATGATCCATCTAAACATGAGAGTAGTTATTTTGAGTTACTGCTCAAAAGGTACAATCTCATCTAAATTTTTTGATCACTTCCACTTTGTTGGAACTGTTATTGTTCTAAAGTCCATTTATTCTCTCCATGCTTTCAGTCCTGGGTTTTTGCTACTCAGTCTCCCTCTGTCATCACCTTTGACAGACGGAGTGCTGTGAGCCATCCATGTAAATACATCAGACCCAGCAACGTGATCCATTTTTTCTCATGTGAGTTCCCCATACTTTGATGTCTAATAGCAGAAGGCATGAGTATTTAAATATTCAAAGCTATGTGAACAGGCACACACAATGTGCATTTAGAAACTATTTCTCTGAGACTAAGCAGTTGACTCTAGATTACTAGTCCACCATTACCGTAACAAATTTAGTCAATAATTGTGATGGAAAACAGTCAGTTACCTGCTTCTGGGTTGGTCCTTTCTTTGTGAAGCGTCCAGCAGAGAAAAATTCCGGGTACTACAGAATAAGCGGGGGGTGGGGAGAAGACAAAAAAAGAGACCAACAGTGAACTAGAGGAGGGGAAAAAAAAATCTCCAAACACTTAATTCTTTTGTGTTTTGAACACTTACTTTTGTCAGAAGTTTTCTTCCAAAGCTAAACTTCACAAGAAGAAGAAATAAAAGGCCGGCAAACATCAGCTTGATAACAGAGCCAAGACCACCTACGTTCACATAAGCGCCATACTGCACCTGAGGCAGACACGTTTTCAGTGACAGAACTTACATTAAAATTTTTGCATCAATGCATTTGTAAAAATAAACCTACCCCCATATTAGGATGCAATTGTTTGATATAATAGATAGCTGTTTAAATAGGGCCTTAAACAACTGTCCTAGTTCTAAACAACTCTCTGAATAATGCTTCATGTTGTAATTCGTTATGAGAAGACAATATAACCACAGAATGGCGAGGGAGCGAGCATGGTAAACAAGAGTGGAAAACTTTAAAGAAAGATGCACTTTGGTATCTGATTTCAGGCTTCTTTCCCAAGACCTTCCTTTCCTCCTCTCTTTGCTTTAGTTTAAGAGAAACTGAGGCCTTACTTTAGAATTCTGGAATAGCAATGGCAAGCCTTTCTCATTAGTAGTTTCCAAGTATCTTTTTAGAGCACTATCTCCCCTCCACCTCTTAACTGATGCCTGTGATTCCGCACAGCTGTTACACACATTGTTGGTGCCGGTCTCCTCTCAGGAAGCCATGGAAAACAAAAACTAAACTTTTCCAGCACCACCACTTCACATCATTGCCTTTACTCTGCACACCGGAGACCCAAGCGTCAAAGAAGTCTCCAGATACAAATGAGCAGCATAGGAATTTGTTATCAGAATGTTTACTACACTGTACTGACCTGACTGTAGTTATAGAGACTACAATTACAATGCTTTTAGAAGCTCTATTGATGCAACAAAAAAAGCCCCTGCACAGGAACAGAATTTAAGGTATTCATCATACCCGAAAATCATGAACACTACCTTTCAAATATTTCTGTGACTCAAGGCTTGCGTTCCCTACAAATACATACCCAGAAATCAGACAGCATGAGAACCCTACAAGAGACTCTCGTAACCATTATGCTAGCAGCAATAGGCAAGCTCATCAGGCAGAGTAGTATGAAACAGGCCAGTGCACCCAGAACCACCTGCACCACATCAGG